TTATTTGTATTTTTCAATTTAATATTCCTTTTATACAATTATTTAATTGTAATTTTAAGAAGGATGGGGCGAAACAACTCAATATAAATAGCAATTTAAATTAAAATATAAAATTCATATATTATTATTATAGAAATTAATTTAATAGGAATAATTACAGTGATATATTCAGTCTTTTAGAATTATAACTTATAAATAAAGGGTATTATATTATTATATTATGAAAAGTCCCGCTATTATTTTTATTATTATATTATCTATTGATAAGCCCTGCAATCAAAAACAATTACTAATTAATGTTTGCGTGTTTTGCAATTTATATATTATTTATATATAAAAGTACGGTAACTCATAATTCATAGACAAATAATTATGTGGTTATGTGGAGGCTATACACAGCCTTTCTTTCAAATAATTGTTATTACAGTTATTGATATACAGAGTATTTCTCACTTATGTTCTCAATTAAACAAATCTAAAAAATTAAATTTATAATAAATAATTAGATAAATGGTAAATAAATGTAATGAATAAGTATACCAAATTAGTGATTAAATCTATATCCTCACCATATAAGTTTTTATGTGTTAACAGTATCTGTTAGTTAATTTGTTGTATTTGATAAAAATCTTAAATCTAAAAAGTGTACACTGCAGTACGGTATTAGTCTTTACATTTAAAAGTAATTCTTGAATTTTATCCAAAATTTCTATGGATATGATGTAAGCAGTGAATGGTGTGATTGGAGGGACAAAACGAATCTATGTTGAGGTCAATCAGTATTGAATGCATAGAAATGCTTTAAATTCACTAAACAATTGTTTTTATGTTTTCAAATTTTTCTGCAACTTTTATATTAATGAGTGAAATTGTGAAAACATGTTTTTATTTAATATTGTATTAAAAACTGAGTCTTATAAATAAACTCTTCGGAGAAATTTAATGTTTTCACAAAAAACAATAAGACATATAATATATGATTACAATTATGGAATTGTTTTGATTGAAACTTTTCTTTAAAATTTACTAATAATTTCATCAATTAAATTGTTTGTTTATTTAATCAAAACTGTTTTTATATAATCATAAGTAATCATTCATAACCATCGCTTTTTTGTTTAATATATAATTAAATATTGAAGTGCAGTTAAAATAAACTTATACATTGTTATCATTTGATAAGCGATGGAAATACGAAAGATTGTTTTTAGATAATATTATAAAACAACATTTTAATGAAAAATTAAGTAGTTATTCCTATTATATACTTAACTTATCTGTAACTTATAAAAATGGCAATTATAAATATTTATAACAAATAAATAAAATGACAAATTAATGAACAAAAAAGTTGAGTACAAATGGGAAAGTGTGCTAATAATTTATACGGTATTCTTGCAGTAAAATTAATTTATACTGACATACAGTATGAGCTCTAAATCACTATATAAGGGCTGGTTGTGAGTTGACTTACTTTCCGAGACCGAGTATTCCTGCGGCTCCCCTCTGAAGGCACCGGAGTCTCAGTCTCTCGATGGGGTCTTTGGCGAGCGCGGCCTGTCTTCCGGCCTTTTCCGACATTCGCATCTCATTGCGTGATTGTGCGGACACGGGTCGAGGCATTTCATACAACAATCACTACTTTCTGTTAGCGACTATTATTTAAAAACAAAAATATAAATTTATTTACACTTTTAAAAAGTTTCAAATACAATGAACGATGTGTCCTTTACTAGGAATTAAAATTATGTGCAAATAATAATAATAATGTTAGGAAAACATTGATTTTACCGTAAAATCTAATGTTTGAATGGTTTGAATGTTAAGTCACTCTCTATTTGTGATTTGAAGAACATATTAAGGCATTGAAGGAAAACTCATATCTAATGAAATAAAAGTCAAAACGAATACCGGTTTGACGTATAATAGCTGTAATATTGAGGGGAAATTCATGGCAAACATGAGTGAACCTGATTATAGAGAATAATAAATGTAGACTTTATTCTATGGGTTTTAAAAAATAAGTCAATTATGATAGACATATTTTTGATTTTTGTTCATACCTTTCAATTAAATAAAATAATGAAATATAATTTTCACTTCAATTGAAACGTTTAATGACTTATTTTCAACACCTGAATGAGTTTTAACGGATGTCTCGTTTAGTTTGAAACAAAAGAGTCTTGTTTAATTCAATAAAACTTTTGTAAATTAAAAAAATAATTAAATTAATTTTCATTTCGTTTTCTAATTTAAATAATTATTTTTAATGATTCTCACAATCATTTCTGGATGTGAATTGAATAACAAATACTGAAATTTATATAAAAGTTTTACAATAGTATTAACATTAAAGCAAAATCTCTTTTTCAGACATTGAGTACAATAAAAGTTTATTACTTATAATATAAAAACGGTTTCATTCAAATTGAGTTTAGATTTTTATTTTATTGAATATAATACTGGAAACAATACAAATGAAACAAAATAATGATAAAATATGTGCAGTAGAATCCCAGTCATTAGAAATACTATTTATTTAGATTTAAATTCATTTTAAATCACTAAAATAAACCATTTCTTAGAAAATAATCATTACTTAATACAAAAATTTTATAAAAATTCTTAGAATTATAAATAGTTGACGGTAATAATATTTATACAATACACTAATATTTATCAGAAATTTTTAATTTCCCTTTTCAATAATTATTAGTAATTTAGACTTAAAATCACATTTGACTCGTGATAACAAGTTAATCGTTGGAACAATAGCATTATACCGTATATCCCTACAGTAATGCCCTTCCCTACAACATTGCTAACAATACATTATGTAATATATTTGCACTTTTATATCGATTTTTGTAGAATTCATTGAATATAATAATGTCTACTCTTATAAACGCAGGGAAATATAAAAATAAATGCAACCTATTTTAATTTAATAATATTTAATTAAAAATAGTATACTAATTAACACAATTGATGCATATATAATATTAAAAATTTGTGAATGTTAACAAATTCAATCAATTTATTTATTTATATGTTATGATGATTGTAACTCAGTACGTATTAATTGATAAACAATGTTAAAAACATGTTTATGCAATTTCTTATCAAGTAATTAATTTGATGTGATTATCAAATATTTAAATGAATCAATGGGTTGCTAAAACTATTTATACTTTTTATTTATTAAACTAATATAAATACACGTAATAGACGTGTAAGTTATATGTATATTAAGATATACGTATATTTAACAAGGAATGTAATACATTTAATCTATTTGAGCAATTACTATATTACAAATAGAAATAAGTGAAATAAAATAATGTGTAAAAACTAAAAAGCATTTACAGTGAGTATCGAATAAAACAATAATATAATTGAATAGTTATATAGTTATGCAGAATATTTGATAATAAAATAGAGTGAATGAGACTTACAGTGAATGCAGCGATAAGTGTAGAGATCTGAGCGAAGTTTGCAATAAAGTCTGCAATGCGTCAAAAGATGGGACACAAAGTATACACTTATTATTATTATACAGTATTACGATATTATGTAAGAATTACTTCAATAGAAGCCAAACCCAAAACTCAACAAACTTTTAGTTTTGGTTCAAATGTCTGATAAAAGTTTTATATTATCAAAAAGGGAGGAAACGTTCAATGATTAGACTGTTAGACATAACACTATTATCTATGAGTACCTCAACAACTCCTCCGCACGACTTTATATCGTATGCAATCGTAACCTAAGTATTAGAGAGACAACACCTCATAGAAAATGATGTCTAACCAGTCCTCGAAACTGAGCACATCGACTACTTTCCAAAACTATTAGAAATATAGTAATGTTACGAAAATATTCTCATCAAATACAATAATTAATGCAATTGTTTGATGAGAAAGAAAAAATGCATTAATTGTTATTTTGTTGAGAAGTAATTGATTTTGTGTTTATTATACTATATATTCTGTTATAACATAAAAGTTGATTTGAATTCCTGACAACATGGACAGTGAGTTTGTGCGAAAACTTAGTAAATGTTAGGTCTCTTATTATGAAAAATAGGACGTTTTGCGTGTTTCTATGGAAATACCAATTTGTGGTCTAGTTATAAAAACACTTAAAAGTAAATTTCATCTCATATTATACCATAAAAATATTGACTTCTTTTACAATAAATACATTTACTGTACTGATGTACTGTATACGGTATTTTGCATACATTTTTATTAGTTAGAAAATTACTAGAAATAAATGTTAGTTATTATTATAAAAACAATACTTTTATGAGTTTTCGTATGAATGAAGAAACTAGATATTGAATTATAGATTTTATTCAAAATTTATTAGTATAATAAAATATTTCAAATTACTAGAAATAAATGTTAGTTATTATTATAAAAACAATACTTTTATGAGTTTTCGTATGAATGAAGAAACTAGATATTGAATTATAGATTTTATTCAAAATTTATTAGTATAATAAAATATTTCACATTAATCAAAATATATTTTTATTAATAAATTAGCAAAATATACAAATATAAATAAGTATTAATATCGTTTTATTATAATTGCGATAAGTTTTTACTTGTACAATTATTAATAATTGATTTGCGTGAACAAATTTTTCATTTACTAGTTTGCAATGAATGTCATCGATAATTATTATTAGTGTTACTAATCCTCAAAAATTGGGTACAATTACAGACTAAATTCATTGATTAAATTTGAATATTTCTATACTATTACCAGAAATGGTTTGGGGAATATTTTTGTTTATTTATAATCTCCGGAAATAATTTTAAAAACGATAGTTTCCTAATAATTCTTTTTGGTCAAAGATATATTTATTATCGTATAATTGCATCAATAAATTAATAAAACAAATAATTTAAACAAAAATGAGTTAATGAATGCAATAAAAGAGTCAAAGTTTGCTAGACTAAAATTGTTTGTAATAAATGAATTGACAATATTTGAACCAGTTAAAATATGGAGTCATTTAAGAAGCGAGTCATTGGATTGATTCAATCTATTTATGGTGTAACCTCTTCTGATATGTAAACCAATCAATACAATGGTTGCAATTGATAGACATATTATAACAAATAATAGTATTGCCGTATATACTGCTTCGGCATCAAGATCTGGACATAATTTGAAACTATTAGTTAAAACTATAATTTATTCAAAGCTTGCTTTCTTACAACCTTTTGTGACCATTATTGTCAATACACCTCCTGTTATGATCTGAATTATGAGCAAAAATACACTAATGGCCAGACATATGGTGATTGAGCGATAAGTGCCGATCCCCGAGAATATTTGGCCCACAATTGAAGACATCAAAGTTATCATAAGAAGTGCTTTATATTTGGGTTCGAGAGCCNTTGGCCCACAATTGAAGACATCAAAGTTATCATAAGAAGTGCTTTATATTTGGGTTCGAGAGCCAAAACTATTGTCATGTAAACGAGTGATAAGACTGTTGCGATTACATTAATCCAAAGCAAAAAAGTTTTAATATCTTTCGGCAATTCTTTGAGAGTAGTGGCCAAAGGGGTCTCCTGTTTGGTGCTGTCCGGACCCACACCTAATGAAGCGCTTGATATTCTGGGCTCCAATTTGGCCCTCTTTTCTGACTCTTTTGTGAAGAAATCTTTGCTTTGATCATCAGATAAGGCTTCAGAATCAGTGCTCTCGACAGTCAATGGTTTAGCTGTTGTTTCTTGAATTTCGCTCTTCACTATTAAATCATTACCTGAGACTACCTTCTCATCGGATTTGCGTTCAACTTTGAGCACCACTTTCGGGTCATTTGTATTCGCTTTATTTGTTTCATTGTTTATCGTATTTTCTTTAATATCTTTATTTGTGGACATTTTGATACAAAGAACTTAAATAAATAAAACGTTTGTAAAGTATTAATACGATTCAATCATTTATCAAATTATTTATAATTTAAAAATCAAGTTTGCTTTCATTTGATTGTTGAGTCACTCATTATTTTGAATAAGTATTATTATTCTTGATTATGAAGACATATTAGTAATATGATATTACTGTAATAACAACTGAATTTGTATAATCTAGGAAATTTGTAAATAAATTATTATTTAGATTTTTATCAAATTTCCACCACAATTCTATATCAATGAAAATTAAGTTTGAAATAACACTTAAAATAACTTTAATTCATTTAATTTTTGGACATAAAGTCAGATCAAACCCATTAATAGACTTGTGTTCGGGTGAGTCCCAAATCGATGGCATCACTAAACTATCAAACGGTTCCCTATTCCTCACGAGTGGTCCTTTCTATTGGATTCTTAATAAAATTCATGAGTCCTATGAATTAGTCACCGATGATAATGCCCGGAGTATTAATGCAATTTTGCTGGAAAATGTGCCTCAAATCGATGCCGTCGAAAGAATACCACAAAATTCAATTTTGTTTGCAAATGCATATAATCAAAATAAAGACGTCTTATTATTTTATTGGGTATTCATTTTCTATAAATCTTTAATTTGTATATTTAAATATTTGAAAACATCATAAAATAAATAATGTTTACTTTACAATTTATTCATTTTATTAGTTTGATCGCAAGTCTAATGAACCAGAAATTCGTATTTTGGTGGACTGGCAGCCGATTGAGTGGCAAAAAATGATTGAAGTGACAGAAAAATTTACTGCAAACTCATCTGACATCGATTGGGATAAACCTTTGAATGCAATACTTTATTATGAGATATTGGACCAGTCAGTTTATATCATATACCAAAGTATTATTCAGCTTTCAAAT